TCTCTGGCACTCTGTGACATCAGGCCAATAACTGCCCAAGTTTTTGTGCCTGTGAGACCCGTACACACCCTTTCCTGTTAGCAATCAAACGCGGCACAGCTTGCTGTTATCTCTTTGCCTCAGTTTTGCCATCTGTACTATGGGAATAATAAGAATATCTTTTTTTTTTTTTTTTTGGCTTTTTCGTTTTTACCGGTACCAGGGATCGAACTCACGACTGCCTGCTTTCAAGGCAGGCGCTTATGCCGCTGAGCTAAATCCCCAGCCCAAGAATATCTTCTTCATAGGAAACGAACAGTGAATGAGACAAGAACTCAAGTAGCGCCTGGTACCTAGCGTATGCCTAACACATGGTGAGTACTTTGTGAGGTGGTGCAGAGCCAGCCATTCCGAGAACCCAGGACCTTGGTGGCACAAAGGACTCAGTTACCCTCGATGAGGCACCAGGGAAGAAACTGTGTGTTGAGAACATGCTGTGTCTCTCGTGTTCTGTTAAAGCCTATGACTACCTTTTTAGGCAGAGCAACTGGAAAGCTTGTCAGGCATCTCCCATCCCGCTGGCTTCTACCCTCTCTCTGAGCAGACTCCCCTAAATCTTTCCAGCTGGGTGTGCCAGGTCCCTTAAACTGGGTGGAGGAAAGGGGAGTTTGTCCGTCCTCTCTATCAGACCCCAGCATGGACAGAGGCAGTCATGCAATGTGAAAACACCAAGCCTGAGTGTGCAGCCAGATTCTAGGGAGGCCACTCCTCTGGGTAATGGGGAGCGGGAAGATACAGCGCCTGTTCAGCATTGTAATGACAGCCAGTAGTCTCTCCTGGCCCCTCTTTGGCAGGTGGGCCCCTGGTGTGGCCAGATGTTACCACGGGTCACAGAGTTTTTGCAAGTTTACAAGATTTTAAAAGGTCAGACGCATTGGTGGTAAAAGTTTTACAAACCAGTAAAAATTTAGTACAGAAGACAGGAAACATGGCTGTAATGGAGAAGGCTGGAGGCAGGAGTCTAGAGGGTCTCAGCGCCATCCTAACCAGTTATGCAAATTTTGGCAAGTCAAGGGAGGCTCTTCCAGTTCTGGGCTTAGACTAAAGAGCACAAGAACGGGGCAGGATGCCATGTGACAGCACCCAACAGTAGGGGCATAGTCTTCCTCCCCAGGTGCCCGCCTGCTGAGAGCTCTGGGTACAGAGAGCAGGCCTGCGGTGAGCGGGGAGCTTTTCATTACCCAGGCTGGCTCGCTGCCACTGGGGGTCTGATGCCACTCCCTGGGAGGAGCCTGGCCGTCTGCAGGCAGAGCTCCAGAATCAAATTAGCCCGGTCTCTGCTGTTCCGTCATCCCCACTGGCCAAGGCAAGTTCATCAAGGCCTCAAACTAATTCTTATCTTGTTTAAAAAGGCCAAAAGTGACTCCATGGTTTCATCCTAGGCAATTTACAGCCTGCCACCGGCCACGGCTCCAGCTCCCTTCTGTCTGTTGTGCCATCAAATCCATTAATAGGAAATTTCTTCAGGGGAAACTTGGTTGTCTCTCATCAGAGAGGCACACAGGCAATATATCTCCATCAGAGGCTGTGGCCTGCCCGGCTCCTTCTAATCTTGTTACCCAAGCAGCTAATTCTCTAATGCACACACTACATAGAAAACATCTTGCCTCTTAACGCAATCGGACTGTCCCAGAGGAGGGCAAGGCGTGGGCCTTGGGGACAGTCTCCAGGCTTTCCCACGCCTCCTGCTGGGTCTCAACACATGCATCTGGCGGCAGGGGTGCTCCCCACTCTCTAGGGTAACATGGGGAGGGGCAAGACATACTCCCCACTTGGGCGCCTAGCTCAGCTGCTTTCTCCGGTTTTGGTTCACCCTTCCGTGTCCCCTTTCTCCTCCCATTTCTCTTTCATTCCTCCCTATGTCATTCTGTCTTCCTTTTCCTCTTCAGTCTCTCATCTAGCTTTCCTTCTTGACTTATCTTTCTTTCCATGCTTTTTAAAAAAACTTCTCCCCCAAGCCAGGCGAGGTGGCTCACGCCTGTAATCCCAGCATTCGGGAGGCTGAGGCAGGAGGATTGTTGTGAGTTTGAGACCAGCCTGGGCTCCAAAGTGAGCTCAAGGCCAGCCTGACCTGCATAGCAAGACCCCTTCTCAAAAAAAGACAAAAGAAAAAACCTTCTCCCCCTTCTTCTTCTTCAGATCGTCCCTAAACTCCTCTTCCCCGCTTTTTTTTGGTTCTGGGAATCGAACTCAGGACCTTGCGCTAGTCATGCAGATGCTCATGTTGCTGAGCTGTATCCTCAGCCCTTCCCAACCCTTTATGTTGCTTTAACTTTTGTTTCGCCTCACTTTTTTCCTTCCTGCTGTAGTGTGACCCCTTTCACAACGAGGTCAGTTCCTAATGGTTCTTCCCAGACCTGTGGCCTCTCATAGCTCAGCTCTGTGGAAGGAGTGGCCTCCGCTGGGAGTACAAGGTAGAGGAGGGCTTTGTGAATACACACTGGCGCTCTAAGAGGTGCAGAGCAGAGCATTTGGGAGCCATGGTGAGGGCGTAGCAAGCAGTGAAGTATCTGATTGATGATGAAATGACCGCCACGGTAACCTCAAGTGAGTGTGTTAGAGCTGAAGGCCAACCCTGCTACATGGCCACATAAGAGACCTTAGCAACAAATGGTGTAAAGCTGTGTGCAGATTTCCTAGTGCATCTGAACTGGAGAAGTTCCTGCATCGATCTGCACCGGGTTTCTAAGTGGCATGCATGAGTCAAAGGGGCTAGGAGCCTAAGGCCTTTCTTAGGTTCAAGAGCCTAGTTTGGAATTCAAAGTGCTCTCCCAAAGCATGGACCTCTCCAGACTCAGCTTGGAGGCCCCAGAGACCCTGGAGATCCTAGATACCTGGAGACCTGGAGACCCTGGAGACCCCGGAGACCTCGGAGACCCTGGAGACCCTGGAGACTCTGGCTCTTCCTGCCATGACTGTCAAACAAAGGCTCGGAGTGCCTTCACTCTAGGGCATCTGGCTCAACATTCCTACAGGTTTGGGGGTTCCTATTTAACCACACCTCATTTTCTACCACTTTCCTCACCTCTGGCCTCCAGAAGGAAATTCTTAGAGGCTGAGTTTCCCTGTTTTGCTGGGCTCTGCGCATGATGTACAAGCGTGGCCAGAGGTCAAGGGCAGGACTGAACTTTTCAGAGCTGGATCCTGGGGAACGGCCACATGTAGGGACCCCATGAAGGCGCCAGGCTATATGAAGACTCCATAATGCACAGGACTCAGCCCTGACCAAGGCAGTTGTTTATTTTTTAAACTTAATCACAATACAGACTTGCTACAGTATTCTCAGTCTATTCCACACTTACATTCAACTGGAAAAGGAAGGAATTATTTCAGTGTTGAAGTTTGCCGTGATTAATACAGAAGTATCTTGCCTTCAATGCAGTCGAGGTAGTAAAGGCCACACATAGCCTCATGGAGACCTGGGGTAGAGCTCTTTCAAACAGAAACTCGCATCAGTGCTTCCTCGGACAATTTTTTGGGCACATAGTCTGAGTATTGTTAGCTACTTGCCAATTTAACTTACAAAGAGAAACTAAATTCTTTCTTTACACATTTGCTGAGTGTGATGGCTCATGTGTGTAATTCCAGCACACTTCTGAGCATGCTCTGTTTAAGGTCACAAAGGAAAGATTATGGGCAGGTGTGGGGGGTGTGCATGTCTATAATCTCAGCACCTAAGAGGCTGAGGCAGGAGGATTGCTGTGAGTTTGAGGCCATTTTGGGCTACAGTCTGGGTTCAAGGCCAATTTGAACTGCACAGTGAGACCCTCTCTCAAAAGAGAGAAGAAGAAGGAGAAGGAAAAGGAAAGGGAGAAGGAGAAGGGGGAGAGGAGAGGGAGGTGAAGAGGGAGAGGGAGGAAGAGGAAGAGAAGGAAGAGGAGGAGAAGGAGAAGAGAAAGACCACATTTAAAAATGTTGATGATTTGCTATTAAGAAAAAAAGGGGAGGAGGATGGGAGAGTGTATCTGTGGCTTAATTACTTTATTGCACATAATGGGAAAGGAAGAATATGCACTAAAATATTGACGATGTCCGTCTCACCCTATCAAATCAGTGCAGTGGTTCTGATGCGCACACAGGAGGGTGGTGTGACAGGGTAAGTGAAGGCAGAGTCAGCGGGATCGCTTCAGCTGTGGAGTTCAGGAAGGCCTCTGTGGGCAGGGGACCACTGCAGGGAATGAGTAGGGAAGAGACAAGATCTGGCTGGCTTTTTAAACACTTCCTTTAGGTTGGAATACACCAAGAAAAGGACACAAATCGCGTGTGTGTAATGCAATGAATTTTCAGACTAGACATACCTGGTCACCAGGACTGAAATCTCCTTCTAGTCAACGCCACCCCAGGAGTCATCAATACCCTTGGGTCTAACAGCATAGACCAGAGTGAGCTTTGAAAGCTTCATGTAAATGAAATAATGCATTAAAAACCAAAAACAGTGATCATCTCTGGGCAGCAAACTACAAATGGTTTCCATTGTTCTTCATGATTTTTTACTCTAAGAATGTATTACTATTATACTTTTGCTACATATATTTTCTAGCTCTAGTTAAATTTTTAGAAATGTGTAAGTATAAAATGTGCATAGTTTTCCTATATAGATCGTGCTATTTAAATATGAATTTTAGAGCTGGGCGTGGTGGTGCACGTTTGTAATCCCAGCACTGGGGAGGCTGAGGCATGGGAATCCTTGCAAGTTCCAGACAAGCCTGGGCTATAAAATGAGCTAAGGCCAGCTTGAACTGCATAACGACACCCTGTCTCAAAAAGACGAATAAATAAATAAATATGCATATTTACATGATGGCCAAAGGACAGACCTCTGGCAGCAGAGACGTTTGGTCTTCGTGACTAGGGGAATTACGTTGCCTGAGGAGCCAAAGAACTGAGCCTGGCCCAGTGCCAGGTAAACACACTTACCAAGGGACATGAGCGGAGCAGCAGCCTGGTGTCCCTACCCGCGATCAGGCTGCACCCTTGTCCCTAGACCCATGCAGCCTCTGGCCCCAAGTTACTTTTCAGGGAAACATGACCAAGCCACCCCGGTGAGTGGATGGACTGAGCTCCCACTCCGGCCACATGCCGTGAGCCAGGGCGGGCTCCCCTTCCCCTGGTTCCCTCCCCTCCTCCTCCCTGAAACCTGATCCAGCCGAAGGACTGAGGCCGGAAAACTTGGCGGCTCCCCAACTCTGGTGGCCTGCAGAGCACCAAGCTGCAGCCTCAGAAGGTGCAGGCAGCGGCGGGGGAAGCAGCCTGACTGGGCATGAGGCTGGCAGAGGCCGAGCAGACCGGCATTCTCTGGAGCTCACCCTAAGCACCACTCCGGGGCCCTCCCACGCGTGGGAAGCCCGCCATGGCGCTGTGGCTCCAGCTGGCGCTGCTGGCCTTGCTCCTCCCCACATCCCTGGCACAGGGAGAAGGTAAGGAGGTGGGGGACTCGCCACAACTTGGTTGGCTATCTGCAGAGCGGGTGGAGGGTGAGTTAGGGGATGTGCAGATGCTGGAGGGTCAGGACCTCATCACAGATGGACTTGAGGGTGTTCTGAGTCGAGTGTGGGGTAAGACAATAGGACCAGCTGGGAGGGAAGCCTGGCAGCAGCCAGCAGCTCAGAGCCACACAGTGAGGTGCCCGGAGAGGGGCACCTTTTCTGCTTTCCTGGTGCCTGAACTCATCAAACCACCACCACAAAGGGCCTAAGAACCCATTTGGTTGGCCTTTTCCTGTTGTAAAGGGGTCTAGAGAGAGAGTAATGCACCACACAGCTTCTTGGTGGCAGAGCGGGGACCAGAGCTAGTCACCTCTCTTCATCTTCACTGGTCTTCTTCGTTGGGGTTCCCTACAGTTCCCCTCCAGGGCTCACCCCCTCCCGTCCTGACTGCATTGCAATCAAGAGCTTTAGTCGCAGAGGGGTCTGGGTCCTTCTCCTGCAGACCGTGTTCACCCCACAGGAAGGCTTCTCCCCCTACCTGACCATCTTGGAGCACCTGGGCACATGAGAAAGATGCCATCTGTGAGCTGTGCCTGGGAGAAGCTCAGTGGGGAGACAGTGCAAGCCCAGGTGGCAGGGGCTTCCTTGGCTGGGGTACGCTCTGTGCTCCCAGCAAGTCTGCTCCGGGGCCCTCTTGCATCAGTCTGTCTAAAGCAGGTTAGAGTCTCAGTCATGAAAGACAAAAGGGTCCCATTGAACAGATGGGTTGTCGCACTGCAAGTACTGTTCTCACCCTCCCGAGCCTCGGGTCCCTCTGCAAAGTGGGCTGATGCATCAGCCACCCCGCAAGGTATTTGGAGGTTACAGATTCTGTCTGCCAATATGATTCCAGTGGAGGTTTAAAAGGAGTCCCTTACCGTCCCTCTTTTGTGGTCTTTGTCGCTCTGAGAAAGGCTGATGGCTTATCAAGGTAGGTGAAGAGGCATAGGACCCGTAGGGCAGGCAACAAGGGGCAGCGAGAGAGGAGGGCTACAGTGCTCTTCGATGGAAGCCAGGCCTGACAGTTGGGCAATGACTGGGCTTTCGCGTTGCCTTGATGTCTGTCCCTGTGGCTCCTTCTCTGAGAGCATTTCCCTGGATCCCTCTCCATCTCCCCCAACCTCTTTTCCACCCTTGTCCGGTTTGTGCCCGCCACCTTAGGAAGAGGCCCTGGCAAACCTTCCCCTGAAGCACGTGTGGCTATGGCAGGATGCATTTCTGGGAGATGCCATCCTCCCCTTTCTCCTTGCCCGTGCAGATCGGGTCAAGGAGACAGAGTGAGCTGTGCAGGGGTTGCAGTCTGACCTCTGCTGGGGGAGCACTGGCGCAGAGCAGTGGGCTTAGAGAGTGTGCCTGTGGGGCTGGGCTCGCTGTGGCCCTCTAACCCATCAGCGCCACACACACAACCATGCCCTACTTCCTGCTAGCTGCCAGGACGCACCCCCTACCCTCAGCCCACCTCCACTCTGTTTAGGTGGCCTTTTCCTCTCTGCTATCACCTGTCCTGACAAGCTGGCTCCTTGCTGTCCTGTAAGTGAAGGGGCAGGGACCCCTATGTGAACATTCACTGGAATTTTTGGCAGGCTCCTCTACAGACAAAATGATATAGTGATGAGAATTTCAGTTTGTGGGGGACCTGGGAATTTTGGGAGGTGTGGATACATTTGCTTACAAACCAATGCAAGAGAACCAGGGGACAACAGGAGGATCTGATTCTCACTTGAGCTGCTTTCCTTCCTAGTCAGGGGGAAGGGGACAGCCCAGGCTCACAACTCCACCAGGCCCGCTCTGCAGAGGCTGTCGGACCACCTCCTGGCTGATTACAGGAAGAGTGTCCGGCCAGTGCGAGACTGGAGAAAACCCACCACCGTCTCCATCGATGCTATTGTCTACGCCATCCTCAGTGTGGTAAGCGTGCAGCCCCAGTCCCCCACCCACACTTGCAGTGGACCTTAGAAGCCACCCTGTGGGCAGCACGGTGGGTATCTCTGGCCTGGTCCCCGTGGGACCACAGCTGAGGATCCGCTGCAGCAGCATTTGCATAGCTGTTCAGACCACAGACCAGAGTCACGGAGCAAGTTCCCCCACATCCCGACACCAGAAGTCACCTCCTGCACTGGCTGTCCACGCATCGTAGCATGATGGCAACTGTCTCTCGGGGCCAGTGGGGTGAGGTGAAGACTGTCTTGTTCATCTCTGTGCCCTTAATGCCTGACATAAGTCCCTAACACCTGGCAGGTGTCACTAAACAGCGACAGCAGATTGTCAGCCCAACAGATCAATGATCTAATCAATGCTTTCATCAATTACCGTAGCAGTGTGGAGTGGGCTGTGTAGCAGAGGAGGCCAGACATTCTACAGAGATGAGCAAGAAAGCGGTCGCAGAGATGCAGCGTGCGGGATTAGCGCAGGAGAGGCAGGGCTGACCTCACGGGCTCTGTTATGTCAGCCTGCCTGCTCAACAGGGGATAAAACCATTTCTGGAAAGACGCAAGCAAGTGGGTTACCATAGTGCTTCCGAAAGGGGAGCCAGCCGGGAGCACAGCTCAGCAGCATGAGCGCCTGCCTGGCAAGCGCAAGGTCCTGAGTCTGATGCCCAGTATCCAAATTAAAAAATAGAAAGAAAGCAAGAAAGGGAAACTAGGAATTAGATGAGGGGTGGGTGATAAATTTTTTACTTCATGTGGTTTTGTGTTTCTCAATTTTATAGCAAGCACCCCGCCCCCCACTCTTTGTATATAAGATGGTCCTTGCTTAAGGACCTCCCAGTTTAATGACTGAACTTAGAACCGAGGTACGCTGTTTGGCCTTATGTTCTGTGGCTCAGACTTAACGACCCATCTTTTATTTTGTACAGTTCTATCCAACTTGTTTATAGAGCCTCAGTGTTTTTGCTTTTATTTGCATAACTCTCATGTGCAGTACTGTAATATATAACAGAACATAAAACTACAATACTGTACTATGCAATAAAATCAGCAGAAATTACACTACTGTATACATAAGGTGTATTGTACAGAAAAAAGACATTGAGGCTCTGTAAATAAGAGGTACGGAACTGTACCAGAAAAGAAAAAAAAGACAAGTCATAAGTCCAGCAGCAGATCGTAAGTCCAAACACTGTGCCTCAGCTGTAAGTCTGCGTGGAGGACCATCTGGATGACTCGCCTTGAAACAAGCGCAGTTATCTCCATCCTGGCTAAGCCTGGCCCTGTTTCCACGTATTGTATGTACAGAGCTTGGGCTGGGCTTTTCTTTGTTCCTTCAATGGGCTTAAAGCAATGCAAATCAGTCTAGGGGAGGTGCTGATGTGTAGTCTGTGAAGCAAGGCGACAGGTCTTTGTTGCCCCACCCTGTCTCTCACGGGAAGCTTGCATGAGCCAGTGCTGCCATGCGCCATGGCTGGGACAGAGCCAGGAGATTGGAGGCTGTGAACTTCCCAGGGCATAAAAGACTACTCATCAGAGCCTACCCCAAAACATTAGATACTGCCTAGAACTGTGTTATGCGGTGACTCTGCATGTTACAGAGGTGATTTCAGTCCTCCTGCCTAGCCCAGCTTATGGCGCCCACACATTTCTCATATTTCTCAGCATAACTACCCTCATCCCTGAACTGCTCCCTTCTTGACAAAGTAATAAATCCTGGGTTTGGCCCTGAGTCATGGCCTTTTGTTCCGTTAGCCTTCACCCTAGCTGAACGTGGGACTCTGGGCTCCCCCAACTGTAAACATGGCTCAGTATCTTTATTCTCACTGTGGGTTGCACTGGACGTGGTAAATTGAAATTCACTCGGTGAATTCCAATAACTTTTCCATGGGATTACAAATGCAAACTTCCTGGACTGCAACGTGGTCTGGGAAGGGCTCTCTATAAACTCAAATTGTCATTAAACTGGTAAGTCATTAAATGAGCAATATCTGTAATTAAGTTATACATAATATGTAACAAAGCTACGTACAACTTATAGTATATATCAGTGGTGGTGAACCATATGTGTTATCTATTTTCCCTTTAAAACAAAAGACATTAATGCATGAGTTATTTTTTCTAACCTAAAACCTCAGTATTCAGGTTTACTTGCCGTGTTGGCCCTTTGGGATACGTAAGTGGGTTTTGGGGTGCAGTGTGGGCCCTCATCTCTAAAAGGCTTGCCATCACTGTTATATATTATTTACAGCATAATACATAAAATATAGAGATACAGAAGAGAAAGTACAAACTGTCTGCATACCTTCTAGCATAATTATGTAACAGTAAATGACCATGATGGAGGTATTCATAATTTTTAAGATGAATATTGTGTAATCCAGGGAATGAGTCACATTTACACAACTCATTTTGGGGATGATGCATGCAGACCACCTGACTGAGCTCCCCTTCCTTTCCCAGGATGAGAAGAATCAGGTACTGACCACCTACATCTGGTACCGGCAGGTGAGTAGAGCAGTCCCCCACGCAGCCCCACTTTCCCATCCAAAGGAGTCAGCAGTCCCAGGGACTTTCATGAGGAAAGGCTGGGGGGCAGTTCAGAGGCACACTCAGCATGAGATCCAAGACCCTGGAATCGTCTCATATCCGGAAAGGGTGTGTGTGTGTGTGTGTGTGTGTGTGTGTGTGTGTGCGTGTGCGGGGAAGCCCCGATCCCTTTTGAAGTTTTTCACAGCATTCCGGAGAAGTTCTTGTCCAGCGTCTGTTGAAGGATTACTTCCAGCACCCAGGAACTCACAAGGCAGCAACTTCACTTTCAATCAGTTCTAGTTGCTAGAAAGTTCTTTCTTCTATTAAGTCAAAGTGGACAAAAGCCACATTGGGTCAAACAGGGTGATTCCATTCACTGAGCCCTTAGGGCCTTGGCTGTGTCCACACTGGTCTAGCTTCTGATGAACACAGGGCTTGGCCAGGCACTGGCTTTGGGCTTGTGGAGGAGGGGACAGCTGCTCCCATAGGCAGGTCTAGCAGCTGCTGGAAGTGGGGAAAGAAATCTGAGCAGAAGGGAAAGGGAAGTGGCTGAGAGCAGGGGCAGGAGGATGAGGATGGCTCACAGAGACCAGCCAGGAGGCCCTGCAGACAATGCTGGTGCATACGGGCCTCTGAAATCCTCTCTCATAGCCATGGACACTCTTCCGGTTCCAGCATCCACGTGACAGGAAATGGGCACAGGAAGAAGCCTGAATGTTGGCCGCTTAATACAAGCATGCCTTGGAACCCCTTTCCCCTTCTGGACCTTTAGGGTCACCTGTCTGGCTCAGTAGTTGAAGTTGGCAGAGAGGCAAAGTCAGTCCACCCAGCAATGAGGTCAAAGACTGGAATTAAAGACACTAACTCGATTGGGTCCTGGCTCACAGTGAGCTCGCAGACTAATAGAAGCAACAGGTACATAGACAGACCATGAATGTGTAGCATAACGGCTACTCCACCGTGCATGGGAGCACGACGAAGGCTCATATCACCCAGCCTGGACCTGGGGTCCAGGGAGGTGTCGTGGAGAAAGGAGCACAGATGCCTTGGCTCAGGTTAGAAGGGCCGGTGGGGAAAGGCACTCGGAAAGAAGACAGAGATTGCAGCATGGGAGAAGGAGCAGGTTCACAGAGATGTGGAGGTCTCCATGGTGTTTAACCATGCCAGGCTGAAGTACAGAATTTACCAAAAGGTGTGGCCAAAAGTGAGCCTAAGGGGATCGGTGGAGGAATGCATAGGTTCATAAAGTTTAACTAGTTTAAGGTCAGTGGGGGCACGACCAAAGACTTTCCAATGTAGCTTTCAGAATGTCCAATCAGGCATAAGAGTAGAAAATGCATTAAATGAAATATAACAATAGCCACCTCTGCCCTGTGAAGAGGGTGCTGTTATCCCCATTTGTGTGTCTGCAGGCCCAGAACCAGGAAATCATCTGTCCAAATTCCTGGAGTTGATGGGTAGCGCATTGTAGCAACTGTGTCTGTCCATATTGCGTGCATGAAGGGACAGGGTTAGGACAGAGTGAGGGGAGGGGAGTCTCTGTTACTGTTGAGTTATTTGGGTGCTATCGACACCCAGATTTTTGCAGAAGATGCCCATTTGTCGCCTGGGCATGGGGGATGAAGTCTGAGTTGCAGGTGAGCCTGATAGTGAGAGGCTGCCTGTGACCATTCCCACTCTTCTCCCAGTTCTGGACGGATGAATTTCTCCAGTGGAACCCCGAGGACTTTGACAACATCACCAAGTTGTCCATTCCCACGGACAGCATCTGGGTCCCGGACATTCTCATCAACGAGTTGTGAGTACTGTGACCACACACTGGGCGGGTGGCTCAGCGGCTAGAGAAGCCAGGCACTGGCTGACAAGATCATTGCAAGACTCACACTTGCCCGCTGTAGATAAAGTTAGCTTGCATTCAGTCTCCTTCGTTTTTGCTTTCTTCCCTTTGATAAAGCTTTCTCTTTTTTCTGTGCCTGATGCTGAAACTCTGCACTTATTAGTCCAAGGGCCCACGTCACAGGGAAAGGAGCCAGTGCATGAACACACACTGAGTTATAATAGCCTAATGGGGACAGCTGCATTTTAAAGGGGACGGTTGTGTTTTTGGAAGGAACAGAACATTGATGGCAGCCACTGCACCTGGCCTCAGAAGAGATTCAGAGCTAAGAAATATGTTCAAACCTCCCAAGCCACACAAGTACCTAACTAACCATAAACTGCATCGCCAGTTTGAAACGGATCCCATCAACCTTTATTTCCAACAGCCAAACACGGTCCCCCTTGACCCCAATAAAAGACTTTGCACCCCTTCTGCAAGTTCATGCAGGGTCCTCCCGCTGGACTTCTGAATTCACAGGCAGGTAAAATGTCTGGGGAAGTGGATAGAAAGCGGAAGGGGACAACTGTGTCCCCCACTTACTACTCACAAAACTTCCCAGCTCCACAGGGCCCCACTGACTTTCTCCTAAGGGAGGAAGTTGACCTGGGCCCTGCCCCTCATGTCCAGCCTACCTCACTGAAGGGGTTCTGGGAAATTCATTCTCGGCTGGGAATTCCAACCCCAACACTGCAGTGGCCCAAGTCTTGATTCTGCATCTCTAGCCTGGTCCCACACAAGGCTGAAGCCCTGGGCCCCAGCTCAGTTAGTAATGCCACTGTGCTCACTCAGGAGAGCCTGGGGGTCTAGAATATGCCAAAGGAATAGGGTAAAATCATACTGGACCTCTAGGATTTCCTTAATTCCTACCCACAAACTCTCCAGATGACTATTTTAGTCTCACATTTAAAGACTTCTAGGAAAGAGGAGCAAAAAAATGGCAAAGTCAGGGCGCAATGTTGTGCTCCTTCCCCAAGCCTGCATTAATGCAGCGCCGTCACTCAGGCAGTGCATCTCTGCCTGGCCCAGCAGCAGGAGTGTGTGACCACACAGGCAGCTGGGCAGGGCTCCTGTAGCCTGTGGTTTTGGGGTCCATGCATGCCTTTCCTGCTCTTTGTGGATAGATATTAGGTAAATATTGGGGACACACCCTTTTCTACGGGGAGACAGCCTTGACCATGGCAGGCCATCATGCAGAAGCCTCCAGGTTGTCTTGCTGTTTGTACTCTTCATGCATTTCTTCTCCTGGGCTGCTCAGAGACTTTCCCACTCCTGGGGCTGGATGTCTCCGGAGCCCCCTAATTGACCCTTCTCTCCTGGCCAGCGTGGACGTGGGGAAATCTCCAAATATCCCCTACGTGTATGTTCGGCATCAAGGTGAGGTGCAGAACTACAAGCCCCTGCAGGTGGTGACTGCGTGTAGCCTCGACATCTATAACTTCCCCTTCGACGTGCAGAACTGCTCCCTGACCTTCACCAGCTGGCTGCACACCAGTGAGTATGTGGGCTTTGGGGGTCAGGGCCAGAGCTGGGAAGGCCTAGGGGAATCTGGACGAGGTCTATTCTCTAGGATACATCCCCCTTATTCAACTTACCACTCTTTTCTTTCTTCTTGGCAGTGCTGGGGATCGAACCCGGGGTCTCACTCACACTAAGCACACACTACCCTTGAGCTGTGCTCGCAGCCCCAGCCACTTATTTTCTGAATGTTCCTGCACTCCTGCTGCCTCCTTCTCCAAGTGGGATCGATGCTGCTGCCCTCCCTTCCTCCCCTAGTTGTTCTAAGGATTTAGTGAGACAGTTGAACTGACTGCAGCATGTCAGTAAGGAATGATTCTTTTCCAGCATCCCAAACAGGACTGACACCAGCCGCCTCTAGGACAGACAGACATACCCACTTCTCCTCAGCGCCCCTCCCAGCCAAGCCACCCTCCTGCCTGCTCCGTCATCCCCATTAACTTGCTACCTAATTCGCTCGTTCATTTTTTTCTTTTAGTACATGTGTGCGGGTCATACGGCTTACAATCATTTCACTCGTGCTCGTGCTCCTCGCAGCAGCCAGTGAGCTCTGAGCAAAGTACAAATCCGACTGAGTCACCTGAAGCCCTCGATGGCTTCCCACAGTCCTGGGACTCAATCCAAGTCCTTGACCTGCTGCCCTGCGAGGGTGCAGCACCCCGCCTCCTCTGGCGTGTGCTCCCCTGAGCTCTGCCCCTGCCCTGCTGCCTTCTCCTCCAGGCCCCCAGTCCCTTGTCACTTCCCTTTATCACATCCAGGTTCTTCACCCCCCCAGTCTCACCCAGCTGGCCACCTCGCTGTTCAGCCCTGGGTAGCTCCCTAAGGAGCAGCTCCTAGGGACAAACCTCTCCTTCCCAAATGAGGCCATAGCTGCTGTAAAATTTCAGAATCACTCTAATCATACGTATCAATACCTGTTCAGTATCTATTTCTGCACAGACATAAAGTTAGATGGGGATGTGAGTTCTTGTTGCCATTGGATACCTAGCACAATGTCTGGCCCAAAGGGAAGTTCTTGGCAAATTGTATTGAGTGGGTGAGTTCCAGGGGCTCACTAGATGGCGAGGACATGAGCGCTGTCTGTCTGTGAAAAGCAGCTCTGCCTGTCCATCTGTGCATTATGCTATAGTATGGTGATAATCTATAACCTTGACCAAAAACCAAGCTATAGAGAAGGCTGAGGCTTTTTGAGCTCCATCCTCAATATCAAAGACTTCTCCAGTAACTCCCTCCAGCAAGATTTAACCTCTTCTATCAGTATAAGCTCCATTAAGTACACTCTTCCTGCTCTTTATATCCACATGGTGGGTGTTCATATATGCACACTCACACATCATTCTGGAAAGTACCTATTGCATGTACCCTACCACACACATGTGCATTTTTAGAGCTGCTAGCCCCTAAAAGGAAATTTTTCTTATTTTCCTAATTCATCTTCAGAGACAGGTAGTTCTATCAACGCAAAGGTGAAGAATGTTGAATTTATTTCCCAAAGACTCAGTCTAGCAGAGAAACTTAGAATGCTTTTGGCAGGTGTGGTGGCCTGTTGGGCTCTTTGCACTGTGCTGTGTGCTTCTCCCCAAGACTTCCTCTGTCCACCCTGCAGACCTGTGAGATAGGCACAGAGTGCCATGGAGCTTTGCTTTATAGCTAAGGAAACCAGGGCTGGAGGTTGGGGCAGAGGCCAGAAGCCCGGGGTGGGCATCAGGGTTCCTTGATCGCTGCCCACGCCACTCTCCACCATCCAGGACTCAGATTCCACCGCTGGCCTCATGTCTTTTGTCTCAGTCCAGGACATCAACATCTCCCTGTGGCGCTTGCCAGAAAAAGTGAAGTCTGACAAGAGTGTCTTCATGAACCAGGGCGAGTGGGAGCTGCTGGGGGTGCTGACCGAGTTTCTGGAGTTCAGCGACAGGGAAAGCAGAGGCTCCTTTGCAGAGATGAAGTTCTACGTGAGTGGGAGTGGCTGGGGAAAGTGTGACAGAAACTCCTAGAGTTTCACAGCCAGGGCGCTAGAGGAGCATGCTGGGAAGAACTTCCACAGCCCCAACCCAGGGTCTGCCACATCCCCTTCAGGATCGCTTCAGCAAAGCAATGGACTGTTCCTTCCTTATCCCAGATAATTGTAAGCCTGGATGGCGGGGCGGGGCACGGGGCCTCTGCACAATCCAGGTCAGAAACTCCTGCAAGGGAGGGCGGGCTGAGGTCTTGGTTCCTGAGTGCGAAGCTGTCTGTCTCCGGCTCTCTCTAAGCTTCTCTCTTGGTCCCAGGTGGTCATCCGCCGGCGGCCTCTCTTCTATGCAGTCACCTTGCTGCTGCCCAGCATCTTTCTCATGATCGTGGACATTGTGGGCTTCTACCTGCCCCCGGACAGTGGGGAGAGGGTCTCCTTCAAGATCACACTCCTCCTGGGATACTCAGTGTTCCTGATCATTGTGTCTGACACGCTGCCAGCCACTGCCATCGGCACCCCCCTCATCAGTAAGGCCTCCCGAGGGAAGGGCTCACGCAGCCTGATGAGGGCCAGCTCCTCCCACCTCTTGGGTGTGTGTGTGCTGCATCCTCTGACACTGTCCCTTGCTACGCAGGTGTCTATTTTGTGGTGTGTATGGCCCTTCTGGTGATAAGTTTGGCTGAGACCATCCTCATTGTGCGGCTGGTGCACAAGCAAGACCTGCAACAGCCCGTCCCCCTCTGGCTTCGGCACCTGGTTCTGGAGCGAATCGCCGGTCTTCTCTGCTTAGGAGAGCAGCTGACCTCCCACAGGGGCCCAGCCACCTTGCAAGCCACCAAGACTGATGACTTCTCAGGTGAGAGAGGAAGGGGAGAGCCACACCCAGAGGGGCCATTTCCAGTCTGGTTTCAGGGACACTGTAGGGGGTCTATGCAGGGTGTGGTGTACAAAGAGTCTGGGACAGCCTGGGGACTGGATGAAACCTTGTACATGGCACCGCACATCCAGGCTTGCTGGGAGCAGGTAGACTTCAGCCGAAGGTGTCAGTCTAGACACCCGCTTCACTTTCATGCTTTTCATAAGCCCAGCTGTGGACAGGTAGCATGGAAGTCCTGGAGTCTGTGCGTGTCGGGAGCTGAGTACTTGGGGCTTTGAAAGCCCTCCGAGGTGAACCTGAAGTGAGGTCACACAATGCTCCGTGGGTGGTTATGGCCTCCTGGCCCCATACAGTGAAATGCTGCTGCTGGGGTTTCTAAAACTCTCCCACTGTAAGCATCCCAGAGCCCAGGTCCCTCCGAATTCCAAACAGCTATGGGGCAGAGAGATGGGTTCAGAGACATACTAAACACAAAGCTCATACTGCCTGGACTGGCAGTTTGTTCACTGAGTACCTTGTGCCAAGCATGTACAAAGCATTTCTCTACATTATCACATCTGAGACTCATGAAAACCCAAGACAACTGTCATTCTTGGGTCTCAAAGGAGGAAACAGCAACATATAAATGGTAGATAGCTTGCTTTCTGTTTCAGAACCAGAAACTGCAAGAAACATGATTGAACCAGCCCCGCCCACCTCTAGGCTTGGGTTTTTAATTTTTCCTCTCCATTCTGCTCTTTTTCATCCCCCCTCCCAACTGGGTCCAAGCGTTCTTCTGGCCCATCTAAGGCCATGAGCCAGTGCACTGATTTTACTAGTGAAGGTCACTATTTCTGAAGGTGTCCAGAAGGACTTGGGGTCCTGGAAAGGAGCCATCCCTTTCATAGGCAAATGATACGGCAGAGAGAGCAGTGAACTGGGACTCCAAATACCTGGTCTAGGTGGTCTTGCCATTAAACGATGAACCAGCTTTGTTAATCACTTAGTGTCTCTGAGCTTCAGCACCATCATTAAAAAGTAGGGGCAGTAATCACCCCAGCTCTGACTCTCGTGGGGCCATCAGAACCTTCAAATGAAAGGATGGATGTCAGATTGCTGTGGAAATCCTTCAGGATTAAAAACCGCCCAGGAGGGTAAACACTAATCTCATGATGCTGCTGACTTGGGGAGGGGTAAAGGGTGTGGTTAAGGTGAGGCTTTTAAAATTAGTTAAATTGGATGGTGACTATGCACATATGTGCGTTATTCTAAATATGTCTCAAGTTGTTCATAATAAAAATTGCTGCCGGCTGTAGAGAAGACAGCATGATGCTCAGAACAGCCCACCGGCCTCCCTGTCTCACCCAGGTTCTACCCTTCTTCCAGCTATGGGAAACCACTGCGGCCCTTTGGGAGGACCCCAGGACTTGGAGAAGACCTCTCGAGGCAGAGGCAGTCCACCCCCTCCACCGCGGGAGGCCTCCCTAGCCATGTGTGGGCTGCTGCAGGAGCTGGCCTCCATCCGGCACTTCCTGGAGAAGCGGGAGGAGACGCGGGAGGTGGCCCGAGACTGGCTGCGTGTGGGCTCTGTGTTGGACAAGCTACTCTTCAGAGTCTACCTGCTGGCAGTGCTGGCCTACAGCATCACCTTGGTCACGCTCTGGTCTGTCTGGCATTACGCCTGAGACATCACAGCCTGGCAGTGCAAGCAACATGGAGCTGGTTAGGATGGGAATGGAGAATTTCTGCTTCAGGGCCCGGGGATGCTGGAGACATTCCCAACACACAGATGGAGCCCCAGCCTCTCTCTGTGTTCAATGCCAGGTCACCTAAGCAATTCCAATTTGGACCTCCCTGCAAAGCCCAATGTTCAGTACCTTTAATCCCCTCACACCCAGAAGCCCATCATGGCTTTAAAACATCTAGATCATTCCCTACTTCCATTCTACTTATCTGTGCAACAAATCTCAGTTTCCCCAGAGGCTTTCCTCTGAATAAGGCACTTGGAATTCTGCTCATCTCCACCGACCTTGTTTTTTTGATAAAGAAAACACCAACTCTGTTACATGGGCCTGATAGTTTTGCACCCGGTTCATCCAGTCCCTGACATCAGCCCCTTCTTAACATTCGTGCACTGGGGGGGGGGGATAGATAATAAAATGCAGTGAACCTTAAACTCTCTACTTCACTTTGTCAGCAGTTGGGGAAAGGTGGATGGGCGGAAGAAGTTTATAATTATCATGAGGCTTCAGGATTATCTATAGTTTTCAGGGAGTTAGGAAGTGAAATGGTAGCTGTTATGAAAAAGAAACAGTAGGCTGTGGAATTTGCATATGGTGTGAGAGTCCCGGCTGTGGAGACTTAGCAATAGAGGAGAGAGAAGAAGAAGCTCAACTCTGCTCCGTGGAAAGATTCTAGAAGGACTTACATAGTTCTACGATTGTTCTGGGCTCAGGGTCTCTCTGGGAGCAAGCAGGCTGTCTCCCTGCAAGAGGAGTCTGCGATGGAGACAAGGATTTCAGGACCATGGCCAGCACCCGTCGGTTAGTCACATAGGAAACACCAAGAAACCAGAGCCTTAGCTTACCCTTCGGAATCCTCAGAGCCTGGCCCTGGCAGCCCACTGGAAAACTGAATCATAAGAGAGAGATAGGTATGGGATAATGTTTTCTGATCTTCTCACATCCTGTCCCTGTGTCCCAGAAATCAGTATTCAAAGAAGAGGAATGCTAGGTCCCACCAAAGGTGACCTGTTCTGGTGTCCACAGTGCATGGATGACATTTTCTCTGCTCTCCAATGGTCACTCTAGCTTTCTCCTTCTATGCCTTGTTATGCCTGACATTCAGAAAGAATTGTGGAGAGGGATAGACCATCCAGGTTAAAGGGAAGGGACCCAAAGGAATTACATCGGATGAATCCGAACATGTCCACTGATATTCCCACTCTTCTGGGCCAGCCAGTTGTTACAGACTCAGCAAGGAATCTGTGAAATTGTAATCTCCCCTATCCCCAGTCCTGGAGTCTGGATGGAGGGCAGAACTGTGGGCCCGAACCCTGGGTTCTGCATGTCTGAAATGGCCTGCCGGCTGAGGAAGGGTCTCACTTGGATTGATTTATTTCTCTCAGCTTCTCAGCCCAGTTCCCCAGCACACTGGACTCACTAATGACCACCTGACTATTCATTCCTAAGGTCACCTGGCATTCAGGTCTCATCTTTACACCCTGGACACATGTGCTTTTGATGTTACTTAAGGATTGTGTATTTATTTTTGTTTTGCTGGTGGGTAGGAAGAGGGAATGGCCTCCACTCACCACTGTTGCTTCTCTCTGAACAAGCCTGGGCAAAATATGGGGGCTGTTCCTCTTCCCTCGCTTAAGATGGCTTTAGGATCTTGGCTTTAGGACCAAAAGCTGCCCTACTCCATTAGGACCTGCCTGGGTCCGCCACACTCTTAGGTGATTCTCACGTCTCAGGTTGCAGGGAACCTGGACAGTCTGGCACTGTCAATGCACCACTGGTCAGTAAGTGGGTGGCTATTGACAAAATGTCCAACCAGAGAGCTAGTAAGACACTAATCAGCCTATTGATTCTCCATCTCCCCCACCTCACCCTTCACCCACAATCAATGGGGCGACAGAGCCCAGCATTGAGGCAGCCAATTAACTACCCTGAGAATGAGGCTCCATGTGTAACATCTTCTGCTCCACTAGCTACAGCCAATCAGCTCATCGATCTGGCATTTGGGCTGGGCTGCCCGGGAATGGGAAACTGAGGCCTAGGACCAGAGAACCCACCCTCACCCCAGTGCACTAGCTCCTGTCCATCATTACTGACTTTGGTCTTCTCCCAAGGAGACTTTTGTCATGTGCGTGGGATGCACACACCCAGAATTCCCCTCCCAATTGGTGCACTTTCCAGAACCTGCTCCCATGTCTAGCCACTTGGGCCATTTCTCCGCATCCTGGGCTAAGTAGAGAGAACATCAGAAGTACTTGTGCTTCTCAATACACTTCCCAAATATTCCAGATTTTCATTTCATTCCCCATCTGCCTCTTTCCAAAGCTATCATTTCTACTAAAAAGATTCCATCAAAGATTTTTAACAATGCCCGTCAGGCCCTCCAGCCCTCTCTGAGCTCATGATTGCTGTTGGCACCTTTGCCCCTGACTGCCGCTGGGCTCCAGGCTCTCAAGATGCCTCCCAGTGGTGGACACTCAGGGGCTTCCAGAAGTCCAGCAGGGAGGCTGAGCTCAGAGGACGGGGCAGGGGTGAGGGGAGATTTCTCTGAGGGCCTCCGGAGGAGGAAAAGTTTCCTGGCTGGATAAGGAGGGAGAAATGTGGTTCGGCATTCACAGGCCAGATTCTGCTCCCTCACCCCCTCCCCCCAGCCTCGGAATCAATACATTTTGAATCTAATCTAATAACAGAGATTTAACGAGGGGATAATGCGCGTGGAGCTGCCAGGCTCTTTGTCTTCCTTTCAAGCGGCAGCTGGGGCCCATTATCCGGGGACAATGCCCCATGCTAATCGCTCCCTCTCCTCCCTTCCAGGGCTTGGGGAGGGGTGGTAGACAGGAGAGGGCAGCTCCGCCCTTGATTGGAGGGAAGAAGAGGGGTACTGGCAGGGAGGATGGGGTCCAGGAGGATCTTGCCAGTCCCCGCACAGCCATCCTGACCTGACACCAACCCACTGGCCTCGTCCCCCAGCCACACCGTGCCCTGACTAGCAAGGAGTCCAGGAGCCCTGCCGCTGGACACAGGCAGCACACAGTCAGTGCAGCCCAGGGCTGGAGCTGGGATTTGTGGGGTTTTCCCCTCTACCTTGGCCCTCTGTGATCCCTTCCCCACCGAGGCCTGTGATTGGCCAGCCCTGACTGCCTGGGCTGGAGGATGAAACCCTGGTCTTAGGAAACAGAATGCTCCTCTCTGGAATAGATGCCTCCTCCACACCATCTCGCCCTTCTGTTTGGAGTGCGGACACCAGACTGCAGAAAAATCTTCCTGACAATAATTTTCTAACAGGAGTGAGGGCAGCAGTCTGAGACAGAAGGAGTAAAATCCCGTTTCCTAGACACCTGTGCACAGAGACCTTTGTCTCTCCAGCTCAGTAAGGGGCAGGAAAGGGAGGGAGCTCTGCCTCAGCCTCCGTCAGCACTCTAGTGGGTGTACCTAGAACAGCACCCAGATGCTTGGCCACCCCCATTCTTTTCTGAACCACACTTACAGGGGGACAATACAACAGTGCTGCGTGCAGCAGGGGACCCCATATGTGAAGTTTGGTCCCATCAGAGGCCGCTGGCTGTGGAGGTGACTTGTGATTACTTCCTGTGAGCCTCCAGGAAGGGACATTCAGCTTCTCATATCAGTGATCGGCTCGGAGGTGCTGTGGGCACCATGCCCCAACACGGAAACCATGCCCCGAGAGATCGTGCGGCTGAGGCAGAGGTGTCAAGTGGTACAAAAGCCCTCCTTGGACCCTGCATGATTGGAATGATGAGAACTGCTCCACATGGGCACTGGGATAGAGGCTTCCATATTTCTTGTATATTTGCTTATTCTTCGAGGCAGGACTGCAGCTGAACCCAGAAACACTCTACCACGGAGCTACATCCCTAGATTCCTCTAATTTTGAGTCAAGGTCTTGCTAAATTGTCCAGGCTGGCCTCCAACTTTCATCCCTGCCTCCTGACCCTCCCCAGTGGCTGGGGTCACAGGCACGTGCCACCACACCTAGATACAGTCTCTGAGGTGAGCTGGACTCCTACCATGGGTCCCCCCAGCAGGGGCTATGTCCTGTGCCTCTTTCTCATCTCATCTCATCTCAGCCCATTCATAGCTTCCTGGCATAGAGTTCCTCCCCAGAGCCTTACTGCCACATCGTGGGGGTCCAGCCCGATCCCGATTGGGTCTCATCTACCAGTGCTACCTCCTGAGCCCCTGTGCCTGAAAAGAAAACAAAACTCTCGGCAGAGAGACGCACCAGGACTATGCCATCTGGGAGAGTTGGGTCCTACAAATTCAGCTGTGTGTGCGGGGGATGGGGGTGGAATGGACTTGGCGCTCAATACTCAGAAGTATTTATTTTACAGCTCTGACAGATGTCCATCTTTGGCCAAGGTGGGCCTCAGCTCTGCCTTCTAGATTCTGTCCACAAGGTGGCAGCAAAGTCCATAAAGTCTATGGCAGGATCCTATGAAGGTTTTAGTGTCCCCTTCCGTTTGCCCTCCCTGCATCCTCATCCTTCCACAGAGGCCTTCCTTCAGGGGTGCCCCTTTGCTCTGGGACAGCGCTAAAGATGTTGTTCCAGATGTTTCATGCCCCTGCTGACCCACTGGCCAACTGGGGCCATGGCTTCAACCAGATCACACAACTGCCCAAACGTGCCACGGCACAAGGGCTCAGGCTTGGACCACCACTGGGCTACATACTTGGTCAATTATTTTTTGAGGCAGGATTTCACTATATAGTTAGGCTACCCTTAAACTCACAGCGATCCTCCTGCCTCAGCCTCCCAAGTGCTGGGATTACAGGTGTGCGCCACCATGCCCAGCATCATTCTATCACTGCATCTTCCTGCTCACGTGATGAGGTACTGGTACCCATGGCAGTGAAGTTCCCCAAGCTCTGTAGAGGACTCACCTTCCTCTTCTGCTCCTGTCTCCCCGGCCTAACTCTAGGCCTCCCACACCTGCTCTGAGATGCTCCTCATGCTCCTGGAGGGAAGGATGGAGGGGGTTGCTGGAAGCAGGAGCAGGGGACGTGGTTCGGCAGCTGTGGCCGGGGGAGGCCTCTGGCAGGGACTCACTGCCCTAAGCCTCTGCTGGGCCCAAGTCGGCTTTTAATGACGGGCCTTCTTTACCCACCAGGCTAATGTCTGTGACACTGCTGCTGTCTCGTGCCAGTGGTGTGTGTTTCTTGCTACTGCTGTGATACATCTCCAGCTTGAGACAAACTGGCAATCTCACAGCTCCGGAGACCACAGTGGACCCCCGGCTGCTCTTGCTGGAGGCTCTGGAAGAGAATCTCACTCCCTGCCTTTTTCAGAGTATAGAAGCTGCCTGTACTTCTTGGCTCAGGGGCCCTCCCAGCTTCCAAGCCAGGAGCCAAAAGTCTGTACACCCAACACACACATGCACACACGCACACACACGCACATGCATAT